TTGCTGTTGTTGTTGCTGTTGCTGTTGCTACTAATGCTTCTTATGCTCTTGCTGCTGCTTTTCCTTGGATTTATCCATTTGTCACATCATTCATGCATCATTTTCACTTGTCTCCAGGTACATGGATAACATACCTCAGCTTATCAAAGTATGTCTTCCTTCTGGAGAAAGCTCAGGTAAAGTAGCCTCATGTAACACATACCCCTTTCGAAATTATGTAGGCTAAAATAGGAAATAAATTGTGCACTTTTCTAGAAGGAATTTGTGCCATTTTGTTAGCACTTTCCTGTTACAATTATTATTATCTATTTTCTACCTTTAGTCCATATAATTACAGTGAATTTTTTAGCACACGAAACAAAGTTGTAAACAATCTAAATAAAACAAAAGAAAGCAATGGAATTATAGCCTGAGTGCAAGGGGGGATTCTCTCATATTATTTGATCTTCCTTATTGATTATATTTTAGGTTGTATTCATAAAATTGTGCATATTCTTTTCCACAGGCCATTTTTTAGGAAAAAATAATTTTCAAAACCGCAGGAATTGAGGATTCACTAAGACAGGGATACCAAAAAACTAATTTTTGTAACATTTCATCTTAAATGTATATCCATTGTATTGTCGGAGTATTTATTTGATAACATCTTTTCATTTTCATAAGACAAGAATGCTTTGAACTGACTTGAGTTTAATAAAAAGTTTCAAAGGTTTTTTAACGTACGGATGGTGTGGTGTTGGTTTCGGTGGGTCAAACAAACAGTAACAACCCATTTGACGGGTAAAGACTATCGAGAGACGTTTACAATGGGTCAGCAATGGGTCTTACGAGTGCTGCTTTAGCAATCGTGTCGTGTTATGATCAAAGCTTCTTTGAGGATCCGGAGTTGGCGAAACGTTTACTGAGCTGAGAAATTTGCTTTTGAGACAGGTTTCGTCTGCACGAGTAGATCTACTTTTCCCAAACGTTTTTTGCCAAGAAAGACTGATTCAACATGCCTCTCCATTGTCAACTACCACAGCTAACTGTTATCAATCGATATCAAACCTAATATTAGCTTGGCTTTTGTTTGTTCTGTCTCTCAACTGTTCCTTCAATCGTTACAGGATGGGTTTCTTGGACGTCCACGCATTCAAATGATCGGCAAATTCGAATCTGAGACATACAAACAGATTCAAAAGAAATTCATATTTAGAGTATAGTGGTAATAAAGTGAAGAGATCAATGATGATGGTGAGGATGATCTTTTATTCGTTAGAGAAGGTTGATTATTTTGGCAAATGATATTTTGATAATAAAATTGTCAATAATACAATTAATGATAGTAGCGAATGCGCAATATGGTGACTTCCAGTATTGTTACCTTGGGTCTTTSATTCTCAGTAGACATGTACCCCAAGCACATACTAGAGGCATTATGACCCCAAACAAGCTCCACCTCGCGACCTGGTGTGGTGGTTTACAAAGATTAGACAAAGAATAAAAAGATAGGAAATGAWAMCGAGACCAATCGGGAGAAGGRTGGGAATGCATTTCAATTTGSGCAATTATATTATTGTAAACGASCAAAGAACTGACAAACGAAACAAGACAAGTCAAGATTGTAATCGAATAATCCATGAATCGTTACCTTGGCTTGATTCCATTGCCCTGAGTAGTAAAATCCCAGCTATTTTCTGCTTATTTGAAAGCAAATGCGGCGCATCTAAAATCAGGAGGAAAAATAGACAGTCTCCTAGATTGTTCAATTTTTGTCATGTCTTTAGCTTTTTCTTGCAACCAATGARTAATTTTTGTGGCTCTTACCAAAAAATTTCTGTTGTAAAGCATCTTTCACGGCTGAATATCCATCTCTAAAATTAAACGAATAAATAAATAAATGTTAAAGTCGAACAAGTGTTTCCATGACATTGTCGGAAAACAAAGCTTTCAAGGCAAGGGYCCGGTTGCATAAAGCTCTCTAAAGATAAGAGTATCCGTAAGTATCGTTCCAAAACAATAGGCCATTGTAATAAGACAATACTTGCGAGTGTTTTTAAGCTTTTTTATCTTAAGAGATATTTATGCAACTGGGCCCAGATGCTTATGAGATGTCATGGAAACGCCTTCATTTATGTCAATTAAAACCTACTTTCTCCCGCTGTCAATTCCACTWGTGATTGAGTAGCACTGTAAATAAAATCGTTAGCATATGAGCCATCGCAAAAGGGCATAGTGCCGGTAGAWGCCTGTACGGTAAACAGTTGTCTGACTTTACGAACCAACCTGTTTGAAGCCATTTCTGCGCATTCCTTAGCGAGTATAGTCTTGATTAGATATTCACCACACCCTGGGGCATGAAAGAAAATAGAACATTCATTTGTTCGATCATGATTTATATTTTGTCACGTATGTGCCTTCCTACCTGTCGTACAGCAAGCTACACCAACATCACTCTCTTCAGTTTTGTTCCTGGCCCAACAACCACTACCATACACGGCTGCCTGGACAATAACACCCGTGATATTAGTGCGCATCAAGTTATAAACCAACAATAGCTTTGCGCAATACTACGGGAATGATTTGCGCAGACTTGAGACAAAAAAACATTACTCAAGAAGTACAGAAGAGTAAGTGTTTTGCGCACTCGTCCAAATAAAAAGTCGCGATGTCGGCGCGAATCAGCGCAAAGCGTGACGTTTTCACAGATGATGCGCGCACAAAAATAGATAGTAAAGTTTAAACTCAAACACATATGATGACTACGCATGGCTCGCGGCGCTTCTTTCTCTTCTCACATAATGCGCATTACCTGCCCGACTCTCCCAGGGGTCTTAAGTAACAATCCACCACTAGAAACACCTGCACAGAGATTCCCTTCCGAATCCACGCACACCACGCCTACAGTATCCATGTATGAATCTTCCTACAAAACAAATCCCACAATGAAATGACTATAATAGGTTGGAAATGTCCTACAGAGTAGAATATTTGTAACCTGGTTTCCAGAGGCTCTCTAGCTCCAATTCCTTTCGGATAACAAAACCTACAACCAAGAAGCACACTGGAGAGAAAGAGCCCTGGAAGCCCAACCCCTTATTGCCCCATTCCACTCCCCCTATCCCCAAACGCACCACTACAGGATACCTTTGATAGAATAGTGTGAAATATTTTGATGAATAAAACTTAGATTTTTCAAAAATTATTTTTCAAGTATAAACGTTTGTCCTAGACTTACATAAACACACAAGTCTTCAATTCTTCGTTTCTTGTGAGAGTTATGTATAACTGTGTTCAGTCTAGTCCTGTCTAGTTTGGCCTTACTTTTGTTATATGCTGCAAGACTTTTATCTGAAAAACAAATTTCTTCTCAGAAACACGAAACAATATCTATTTGGTAAGAGATTTTTGACGTTCTGATCTCAAAGCACTTGCCAGTTATGAGAGATTCATTTGACACACTTTCTGCAACAGAATTTTGGTTTGCCCAGCGAACTGCACCATCCCCTACTAGAAATCTAGAAGAGGGGTTGGAGAAAAAAATTAATGAGAGAACAATTTTGAGAATGTATGATCCCAACAAGGCAGAAAAAATTTGTTTCCTTACATTGGTGGAATGAGACCAACACTTGTTGGTCCTTGGAGTTCTTTTTTCAGAAGATGGGCAGCAACTTGACTTGGGTTTTTAATCCCTGAATGAGGAAGGAGAAAATGTTACACAATCATTAAGATATTAGTATCCTCTTCAGTCGTTCTTAGTGTTGTCATGCAATGCACTATGAACCACTTGCAGGGGAGACTTATCAGATACAAAAACAACTAAATAAATTTGATCCGATGGGTAGCTAGGGTAGGGTGGTCCAAAGCATGGGTCTCATTTGGCCCAAAGGGAGCTGCCTATCTATTTTTTTCTTGAACAGACTATGGTCTGATTACCTTGCTGGAAGTGGAGAAGGGTATAGTCTGATGCTATTGCTTTTGAATGGACTGACAATAAACTCACCCTTCACTGCACCAACTGCACCAAACCCCAATGATTTGCCATCCATGATGCTAGCATCACATTCAACCTCTCCTTCAAGATTTAGGTTGGAGCCAACACCTGCATTTGGGCAAGGAGCATCCTACATCCAATGAAAGTAAATATTTACACAAATTAATAATAGTAATGAAGCTGTTCAAGATGGGTTAGTCTACTAGAGAGTCTTTAGTGCTATTTTCAAAGTCATGATTGGGTACCCTGTTTCTTCTAGCCACAGGAAGCCCATTACCTGATCTTATGGAGTATGAATGTAAAGAGTGATTATAAGGGAGGGGAGGGTGGGGCTGTTTTTGTTATGAATTAAGCAAGTTGATAATCATGAAACAAATACAGTACCTCTAGAGCAGAAAGAGCAACAGCAACTGCTTCTACTGCTAATTTACCTTCTTTAAGAGCAGCCACTGCCTGAAAATCATGAATTCAAGTCAAAGCAAGGATGATATGAAATTAAAAATGTTGCAAAATGAACCACTTTTTTCATACTTGTAAACATGCTGTCCTACAAGCATCTTTGTAGTCAGCTTCATTTGTAGAGGAGTATTTACCAACACCTGAAAATGTTTAGACAAAATTGTTGATAGCTTTTTTTGTCCTAACACCTTTTTGTATCCATAGAAATGGTCTGAACCCAGGTGAATGAATGTTTATCGAAGTTAAACAATATTTGTATTATGATTATCCGGGTAGATGTAAAACAATAGGTTTCCAATTTTCAGGAAATTGAAATTCTTTTGTTGTTGTCCTCCAAAATGAGCTCCTTTGATTCACATGCAAGGGTATCTGTATCTGGTATCTGGTCTATAATCAGAGCTATGCAATTTCAACCAATTTTGACCTGCATAAGCTCAATGGCTCAAAACAATGCTACGTCATTATAACCTTACCAACATGTACTCCAATAAAACCATAAGGTTTGTCCAATATCTCTTGTGTTGCCATGACTACCATACCACATGCACCCACTTGCCCGTCATGTCACCATCTGGACTCAAAATGAGCCCGTCAAATGATGCAGTCAGCGGTAGGTTTTGGTTTCCAGTCCATCTCATCCAACAGATCCAAGATGGCGGACGAAGGAATAGCTGTTGGAATTCTTACAGGTAACGTTGGTTTTGCACCGACTTTTGAAGTATTTGCTCATTTATCCACGCTAACCAATGGTCGTTTACCTACTTAGTGAGTGACAGATGCTTTCAAGGCAAGGCAGAAGACAGAAGTGGGCCGAACTTGACCAAACTAGTCCTCGAAGCAAAAGAGTAACTTGAATACTTCTACTCAGCTACTTGTTCATTTTCTTGCAGTTTTCTCTCGAGTTGTTTGCTGTTATCCTCACGTGAACTAATATTTAATCCTCTGCAGGTTAAATGTCAAGCAAATAGAGCACGACTGTGTCCAAGATAGCGTTTCTGAGATAAAGGTGAAGATCTTTTTAATTAGAAAAAGAAAAGACAAACTCAATATCTGGGAAAGACGTTAGCCTTAATTTTTAATAGATTTCATATATAATTATATTCGATCTTAAAAACGAGGTTTTTTTGACGATAAGATTGCAGTTTTAAAAATTTAGTCTTAAAATATATAGCAGCAAGAACACCACAGGTAACCCAATCTCATGAATTCATCTTCCACATCTATTTAACCAACAGAAAATCTTGTGCAAATGGAGTGATGTTGACAAGCTTCAGCTGATCATTACGACAGGTGGAACAGGATTTTCACCTCGTGATGTAACCCCTGAGGTTTGTGAGAATAGACCTATCCCGAATTCGCTTGACTGGTCACGAAACAATGGTTTGAAGTCGAGGTTGAACTTGATGAATAAAAGAATCAAGTTCTGTCTTGACCTCAAACAATTGTTTCGTGGTCAGTCAAGCGAATTCAGGATAGGTGTATTATCATCGAAATGTTTTGCTTGGTATAATTTCCAAGAGTAGGGGGAGGGGGAGAGGAAAGAGACAGGAAAGGAAAGGAAAGGACTGGGGTAGAGTAGGGGAGAGGACAGGATGAGGTAGGAAGAAACAAGGTATATTAAAGGAACTTATATGAGGGGCAATGATGGGATAGAAAACCAACCCTACCCCTCAAAGGACAATTTTAAAACTCCAAAACCCTAAAATTTGTTGTTTCTTCATCAGGCAACAAGTCAAGTTATCCATCGTATATCACCAGGTTTATCACAGCACATGATAGCAGAATCCCTTAAAGTCACTCCACTTGCTGTTCTATCAAGGTTTGTAGCAATGCAGGTTTAATTGTTGTGCATCCATCCAGTTGTACATGATGCATAATTACTTTACTGGATCAAGATGTCAAATTCTCTTCAATAATCAGTGATAGGAATGATGTATTTTTTCAGGCCTGTTTGTGGAATGAGAAATAAAACTCTGATTATTAATCTACCAGGCAGCATCAAGGGCTCACAGGTAAAATTAATTATTAATGTCTGTGTTATAATATTGTCAATTGATACAATAACAGAAGAAGGATTACAGTAACAGTTCTCCTTTTATGGTTATTTTTGCACCATTGATGTTAGCCATCATCTTTCTCATCAACACCATCATCATCATCATCATCATCACAATCACAGTTATCACTATTACCACCATCATCACAAGAATCATCAGACACCACCACCACCACCACCATCATCATCATCATCATCAGACTTCATCCACATCATCATCATCACCACTATTATCATCAGAATCATTTTCAACACCATCTTCATCATCATCACCAACACCATCATCTGTGCTCATAATAATCATCATCCCCACCATCATCGTCATCATGTTGCTTTATCCTTTCTTTTCCAGGAGTGTTTTCAGTTCATCCTTCCAGTCCTCCCCCATGCCTTGGGTAAGATATCTATTAAGGCTAGATGAAAAAATGGGTTAAAATAGGTAGAGGAAATGTAATGTAGAAAGCATTAAAACACAACCTAAAACCCAGCTCTCTATCTCTTTGGAAAAAGAATTCCATATGAAAAGGAAAGCTTTTTTTCTGGAGCCATGCCTAATATTGAGAAATAACAGACTTAAGAATAGCAACATGAAGACTATTTTTTTACTGATAGATATTATAAATGGCTCCCCAAAAGCAACTGCAACACATAATGCTATGGCAGCAAAAACACCTTCAAGCAAGGTAATAGCAAAAAAATGTTTTGAAGTGATTAAAATCTTCATTCCTGGAGTAACTTTGGTTTTATCTAACAGGATGCACCTGTACACGTTTGTCCTCACAACGCTGGACGAGGTAAGATGAAACTGAAACTCACTCAATGATCGAATCTCAGGGGTGTACTAGGTGAATTTCTTATCAGGAGGGTGAGGAGAGTGAGGGGCTAACCCTTCATTTAGGCAAACGAATCATCCCTCTGTCCCCTCCACCAAGACATCTGCTGCTTTTTCTCTTTCTACCCAAACCCAAGAGGGGAGGGGGGAGTTTTACAGGCACCCCAGATAAACTTTCCTATTTTCACTTAGAAACAATTCAAAGTATTTGATTATTTATCCTTAGATTTAAGCAAAGTGGCTGAAAGAGATCGTCATTCTCCATACCCACTGATGCCTATGGACAAAGCAACCAGTGCCGTGATGGAACAAGCCAATCATCTTGGCGCACACTTGATTGATGTACAAGGTATTTTTAATATATTATTTTGTTTTCCTGTACCAGTTTCATTAGCATACTGAATCCTCTGTATGGGCTTCCTGTGGTCCTCAAGACCTTGATGACCAACATTTTGTCTGTTGGCAATTGTTTAGCATTCTTCTTTATGGGATTGATTGAAGAAAGAAAAACTACTTGAAATAGTTCTATATTAAGGAAGGTAGTAGGTATATCCTCCATGTACATGTACTGTAGACCCTCCCACTCTAAAAATGTTGTGTTTTATGTACTTGCATTGCATCATCTTATGATTTATATTTTGTTGTTCTAGATGGATTAGATTGTGTTCTGGCAGAGGATGTTTGTTCAGAAGCTCCATTTCCTCCGTTCCCTGCTTCTATCAAAGATGGCTATGTCTTAGGTACAATATAACCCGATGGTCTTGTTAAGAGCAAACTAATAGCAATTTTTAAGAAAAGCGAAACTCTTTAATTGGTAAGAAACATGTTTCAGCAGTGTCTTCTACTATTATCAGTTGTGACTAATACAATAAAACTGCTGAATTATGTTTTACAAAGGTTTTAATTGTCATGGGAATAAACATGGTGCAGTCTCTAAATACACTCAACTGAAGAATCGTTGTCGGGTTCAGAAACAGAACATAGAAGCTGAGGCAAAAATGGCACATGGGAAGTACGTTAATTATATGCATGCTGTGACTGGCGACCCGTGGCATCATCCACTGTTTTTAATACACGCTTGGCATTCTAAACCGACTGCATGGATGGCGCAAATGAATAAATTATAATATAATTATGTCATTTCCCATGTGCCATTTCGGTCTCAGCTTTTATGTTCTATGTTTCTGAACCTGACAGCGATTCTTCAATTGAGTGTATTTATAATTTTCTGAATTTATAATTACAAAAATAGGTATAGGGAAATAACAGGACTTAATTCTTTCATTTATAGCTTCAGATGGACCAGGAGTTCGCAAAGTTGTTGGTCCGGTGACAGCAGGTGAAATTGTACGTTTAAATTTTCACCAAAAATTTTATATGACACTTTTGTAACAGGTGTATAATATTCGTCATAGACCTCCTCCAAAGTGACGTCAGGTCATGTGATGCGCATAACTACTGGTGCTCCTGTACCACCTGTAACATTATATGATATTGTGTGACAATGCATCTTTGTTTAACTAGTTACGTTATAGTTAATCACATGATTGTAATCGTATATATATACACATGTACGCCAGATATATATCAGTTCGCGTACTGATCAATACATGTAGTATAGAGTCAAGATAAAACAAATAAATCGAGACATAACCAACCGAAGACTATCACACCACCTGGTTCAGATGCAGTGGTTCAGGTTGAAGACACAGAACTTGTGGAAAGTGCTGATGAGGTGAGACTCGGCACTCATTGATTTAGAAATTTAAACAGCTTTTTCCGTGCTAAGTTCAGTAATAAAGTACGAAAGATATAAGCACGAAAGAAGTGTGACTCACTTCTTGAGTGCTTTTGGTCACTACTAAGTGCTTTATTACTAAAGGGAGGATCAAAAAACCTTTTTTTATTGTCTTATTATTAATGTAGAAAGAAAAACATCTGTGGTAGTTTTCACTGCTGTTTTCTTACTATTCTTTGTGCATGCATAGATGGTGCCAGCAACCCAGCAACCATGCTCTGTTCATTAATAAACCACAGGTCTATTCCAGTCAGAGCACTCATCCTATCTAAGCTGTATGTACTAAGAGTAAGGTTGATTGTGTGATGTCAATATGAAATAATTTCAATTATTGTAAGTCACTCTATACTTTGATAGGGAAAAACTGAAGTCAAGGTGAAGATCTTGTCAACTCCCAAAGTTGGACAGGATATAAGGTAATAAGCAGTGCATGTGGCAGATTGACCATTATGTTTTCCCATTTCAGACCACATGTCATTCTTCATTTACACAATATATATAATACGTTAATATATTTCTTGGATTCATTTTGTTAAAGGCCCATTGGGTTTGACATTTCCTCTGGAGAGCTGGTTCTAAGCAAAGGAGAGGTCCTGGGTCCTGCGGAGCTTGGTTTGTTGGCCACAGTTGGTGTTACCCAGGTCAGTATGTGACTACAAGTTGGCTGGCATAAGATACATCAGCATGTGTGTGTAACTTTTGAAACAAGAAAACATTACACCCATCCAGACTAAATCAGTCTACTGTTTTTTGTAGGTATCTGTTTTCAAGAAGCCCAAGGTTGCTATCCTTTCAACTGGTAATGAGGTAAGTAGAAAGATGGTTCTTACACGAGTGAGTACACAGAGGTTACCCTCATGTAGCACCTTTGCTATGCCGAGATTTTCTACCAGTTACATGCAGCAGGATGGGTGTAGACATTCAAATGCACAGAAAGGGTTGTTACACCCTTCTACTTCAGAAACAAACTCCAAAATACTGCAGTATGACTATAATTAAGCTTGTTGAGGGATTAAAACTGGAGAACCCAGAAAAAAACTCTTGAATCGAATGGAGTCGACCCAACAGAGTCTACTCACTTGATGCTGAGTTCAGGAATCGAACCTTAGAATATAGTGGTGAGATGCAAGTGCTTTTTTGTTTCACTTTGTGGTTTATACATCTTCACCCTCTTTATAAAAACCGCGCTACACCACCCTTTATTCCTTGATTGATTTAGTGTTATTATGCATAAGGTGGGTTTTTTTTCTGGTTTAACATAACAGTCTTATCCAATCACAATGTTTTTTGTTGCTTTAAGATTGTCCAACCCACAGGAAGCCCAAAGGCTGGTCAAATCAGGGACAGCAACAAGACAACACTAACAGCAGCTGTGAAGAAAGAAGGGTTTGATGTTATTGACCTGGGAATAGCTCGAGATAAGTAAGTAACCAGTATATTATATGTTTAACTGCAAACTTACGCAGATACCCATGGGTATGGGGAATGAAGTATTGCATTGTTACCTTAAAGAATATACAGATGCTTTAGAGAGAAAATAAGTTGTTAACTAGTAATCTCTACATAATTTTTTTTAGGACCTGGTGTGCCATACCAGGAAAAATGCCAGAAAAAACATCTATAACTCCACCCACCAACATCAACTTTTTAGTCTGCATTCCTTTCTCCATGTATCGGCATCCTTTTGCAGATTGGGGGGAAAAAATTATCAAAGGATGCAGACACCTGTAGAAAGGAATTTGCAGACATTTTCAGGCATGAATATGACGTTTTTTGTGTGAAAAACCACTTAGAAAATTTTGATGGGTAGGGTGGCTAAGGGACATCATACTGTAACCTCTATATATTGACAACTTGATTTCTGTATTTTTACCAGTCCTGAAAGTCTTGAAGCTACTCTTACCAAGGGTTTGTCTGAAGCAGATGTTGTCATATCATCTGGGGGTGTGTCTATGGGTGAAAAGGTACAGGTCTTTAATTATACCACAGGGAGCCAAATTTGGATAAAAGTGAGGTTTGAAGATAAAATTGGGAAAAAATGCAAAATTAATTATTTTTTCAATTTGACCTTTTGATTGATTTTTTTCACTCGTTCATATTCAAAAGCCACTACATACTATTAACCTGTTTCTTCTGATATGTTGTATGTGCTGCATAACAGGACCTTCTCAAGCCAGTTCTTGAAGACAAACTTGGGGCTACTATTCACTTTGGTAGAGTTTTCATGAAACCAGGGTAAGAAATAATGAACCTCACTACTGTGTAATTAATGCCTGGGGTCACAGGGTCGAGTCCTCGCTGAGCCACATATAAGAGTTGTGTAACTGTCTCAGTTATGGCTAGGCTATTTTACGGATCGATCGGACTAGACACTTTAGATCCCTTGATCTCTTTTAATCTTTGTCGTTAAATCAATCGTAAAACTATAATAACTCAAATGAAATAAATTGCTAACTAATCTTACTGACAATCGTACATACATGCAATCATACAATAATCGCGATAGAGCTTAAAGAAAATACAATAATTCCTAAAATAATAATACAAGTAAAATCATACCTTGTCTAGCTGCTTGCAAACTTGAACTATGCTAAACGTGGCTCGTGTCCACTTACTTAACTCATATGACAGGTTAATTATTAAATTATTACATGAATCAATTGGTCTTTGTTCTATGTAAACATATATGTCTTTCAATAATCATTTCCGATAAAACTCATGACGTCAGTCACATGGCTCCCCACAGTGGGATATCCGCTGTCACTCAAATCAGGTATATATATATATATATATAATCACTATGGCTAACAGTGCTAGCAATTGCAAAAAAGTGTTCATGTTAATATGTATTCATAGTTCTTATCTTGTGGCTCCCTCGATGGGGAATCCCGGTCTTCACTCTGCATGTTGGAGTACTACTAATTTCTGRACGGGACGTTCCATCACTGTGAGATCCTTCTTGCGCTTGCCTKTGTTGTCAAGGTGTGCGGTGGCTACAGCGAGGCGYACCTTGCGTACTAACCCGTCATCACTTGGTAGAGCCTCTAATACTCTGGCAAGCTTCCACTCGCATCTTGGTAGGTTGTCATCTTTGATGATGACGATGTCACCAGCCTGTAAGTTTCTGGATGGTTTGTTCCATTTTGGCCGTACTTGTAGGGTTTGTAGATACTCTCGTCTCCACTTCTTCCAGAACTYATTAGCTAGGTGTTGTACCCTCCTCCATCTCTTACGACAATACAGAYCAGCTTTCTGGAACTCACCTGGAGGAGGCATCAACACCTTAGACTTCATTGTCAACAGATGGTTGGGAGTCAATGGTTCCATATCGTGCGAGCTGGTACTTGTCAAAGGCCTGGAGTTAACAATGGCTTGAACTTCTTTCAACAGCGTTCGAAAGCTTTCATCGTCTAGTTGGTGACCAGCTTCCAAAAGGAGCGGCTTCAGGACATTTCGCACACTACGAATTTGCCGCTCCCAGACTCCTCCGGCGTGGCTGGCAGATGGTGGGTTCATCTCGAAGATTAACTCACAGGCCTCTTTCATCAACATGGTGCGTACCTTGCTTTCATCTAAGGCTTCTTTCAGCTCATTTCTTGCTCCGACAAAGTTGGTGCCACAGTCTGAGCGTATCTGGCGTGCTGGACCACGTTCTGAAAGGAAACGCCTGAGTGCGTTTATAAATGAGTCAGTGGACAAGGATGCTGCAGCCTCGAGATGTATGGCCCGTGATGCCATACATGTAARCAAGACGCCATACCGTTTGAGTTCCTTTCGTCCTTCCTTTATGGTAAATGGACCAAAATAGTCCACACCACAATATGTGAATGGAGGTGCTGGTTCTATGCGGTCAGCAGGCAGGTCTGCCATCTTCTGCTGCTGTAGGGAACCTCGTAACTTCTTGCAGGTTACACATTTAGCGATTACTTCTGATGTGGCTGCTGCACCGCCGATCACCCAGAAACCTTGTTGACGAACTTCATTCAGGGTCATACCTCTACCTTGATGCTTGGTTACTRTGTGAAAGTAGCGCACGATTGTCTTTGTGAGGTGAGCTCGGCGAGGCAGTATTACTGGGTGTTTCTGTTCTTCTTTCATGTTTGCCTTGCGGAGGCGACCACCAACACGTAGTAGACCATCGTCATCTATGTATGGGTCTACTCTGTAGAGACTACTGCATTTCTTCAGGGTGGCATTACGTCGCTTTGCTTCATCTCTGCTCCCGAATTTGCCCTTCACGTCTTGAGATCTCAGAATCTTTATTTCAGCGCTGAAGTGCTCCTGCTGAACACTTTGCAGGATGACTATCTCAGCTTGTTGCAACTCTTCCAGGGACAAGGGACCATGGATCGTCTTCTTTGTTGGATTCTTGGCTAACGTGTTCAACAAAAGGCTCTTGAAGCGAAGACAGAAGGCCACAACCTTCTTTGCAGTGTACCAGTTGGAAAACCGGTCAAACACGCTGCTTTCTATGTAGCTTGGAGGGCTTGCCACTGCAGTGATTTGGGTTGACATCGTCGTTGTCTTCCTAACTTCTGGGTCATCAAAACTCAGCTCGATGACTTTATCAGCTTGACGCACTTGGTATGGGCCAGGATTCCATAGAAAGGCTGGGCCATTGAACCACTCTTTGTTATCTGTGAGGGTTGATGCTCCTCTGGAGGCTAAGTCAGCTGGATTGCTACTGGTGTCCACGTACTGCCATTGGTTAGGCTGAGTGTGCTCATGGATCTGTTGGACTCTGTTGGCCACGAAAGTATGAAATCGCTTGGACTCGTTATTAATGTAGCCTAAAAGCACCTGGCTATCCGTCCAGAACACCTGAGTAACCTCTGGGTACTCTAGTTCCTGCAATAGCCATTGATTAATCTTGACAGATATGGTTGCTGCTGTTAGCTCGAGGCGTGGGATGGTGATGGACTTTAGGGGCGTCACTCTTGCCTTAGCCATCACAAGGTACAATGGGCTTGGTCGTTCTCGTCGAGTAACCGTAGGTAGCTGCACTGTCCATAGCCTACCTCAMTTGCATCAGAGAAGTGGTGCAGCTCTACTCTCTTCGCCTTTCCAAAGTCTTTTGGCTTGTAACACCTTGGTATGCGAAGCTGTTCTAGATCACGTAGATTTCTTCTCCACTGCTCCCACTTAGGTCTGAGACGATCGTCAATGGGTTCGTCCCATTCAACATTTTGGTGACAGAGTTCTTGTAAGATCTGCTTTCCGACCAGAACTATGGGTGCCACGAATCCCAGGGGATCAAACACTGAACACACTGTCGATAGGATTCCACGTCTTGTGAGTGGACGGTCTTGGACGACTACTCTAAATTGGAAAGTGTCTGTTTCTATGCACCACATGATGCCTAGAGTTCTTTCGATGGGCAGTGGGTCAGATGTGAAGTCAATTTGTTGAAGACTTTGTGCTCGATCTTCTACGGGTATTGCCTTGATGACCTCTGGATTGTTGCTGCTGAACTTGTGCAGTCTAAGACCTGCCTTTGCACATATGCCTTGGCAGTTCTTGATGAGTGCAATGGCTTCATCTGGGCTTTCAACTGACTTAAGACCATCGTCTACGTAGAAATCTCTTCTAATAAAGTCTGCTGCTGCTTGGCCAAACTCTTCCTCTGCGTCATCTGCTGCCTTCTTGAAGCCAAAGTTTGCACATCCAGGTGAAGATGCAGCGCCAAACAAGTGGACCTTCATTTGGTACTCTGTGGGATAGTTGTCAACATTGCCATCCTCCCACCAGAAGAAGCGGAGTAGATCTCGATCTGCCTCGTTCACGAAGAACTGGTGGAACATTCCTTCCACGTCGCATGCCAATGCTACTGGCTCCTTTCGGAATCTACTCAGTATTCCCAGTAGGTTGTTGGTGAGGTCCGGTCCTTGCAATAAGTGCTTGTTTAATGACGTTCCACCAAAGCTGGCACTGCAATCAAAAACCACTCTTATTTTACCCGGCTTCTTTGGATGATAAACACCATGRTGGGCTACRTAGTTTATTCGACCTTCCAGACCACTGTCCTTTGGGACCTTCTCGGCACTGTTTGTCAGGGTCTTCTCCATGAATTCTGTGTAATCCTTTTGAAACTTCGGGTCTCTCTTGAATCTGGACTTCAGCTGCGCCAGACGCCTCAGCGCTTGTGACTTGTTGTTGGGAAGTGCTGCATCAGCGAATCGAAGAGGTAAGGGCATTTCATAGTGTCCATCATCTCTCTTGTGAATTCCGTTCTCGAGCTTGGTCAGGAATCGCCGATCATCTACTTAAAGAGACTGCTGCTTTGGATCACATTTTTCATAAAAGTCCCTTTCAAACATCTCTCTTACCTCAKCAGGACTTATGACTTCTCGCGTGTGAGTTTCAGTCGTGAAGGCTACTTTGTTGGCATCATTATGCTCGATGTGCCTTTGATTTGAAGGGACTAGATCCACTGCAGTTCTGTTGGTCTTGTATATTTCAGTTACGACCGACGATTCTTCGTTGAGAGGAGATTTGCATACGCGCCCAACGATACCCCAGCCAAGATCAGTTCTTACTCCATATGGGTCATCGTCAGATCCTGGTATGACCTGTCGGGGCTTAATGGCCTTTGCGCAGTTGGTACCTATCAGCAAACCGACTCCGATGTCATCTCTGAAGGGCATGAGCTCGTCAGCGATTCCCTCAAGATGTTTCCATTGTCTTGCGACGCTTGGTTTTGGAATCTGCGAAGGCTTGCAGGGGATGTTTTGTCTTGTGAAGATGCTTGGCAATGCAATAGAGGTATCGTGCTTGAAATCCCTAATAGTGAGGCCTTGGACTTTTTTACATTCTATGAACTCATTTTCTTCATGCATTGTGGACAAGAGGAGGTGAGTACTTACGCCATCAACACTTAAGGATGATCTGAGGTCTTCGGTCATGAAAGTCGCATTAGACTGACAATCTAGTAATGCATAAGTGAGTCTCTCATTTTGAGGATTTTTCACACTAGATATCCACACTGGGACGACTAAACACTGGTCTTGACCACCTTGTTGGCCGTCAAGCTCACAAACATTGGTGCACTTTGATGCAGCTGAATCAGGTTTCCTCTCCATACTATTAGGCTGTTTAGGTTGTCCTTCATCTGCATTATCGACATGTAAGCAAGCTGGATGTTGTTGCTTACATTTCGAACATGAGACAGTCTCACTACATTTATTCTCCTTTGCCATGTGGCCATGACGTAAACAACGAAGGCAAAGGCCTTTTCTGATGATGAACTTGGTGCGATCCTTTATACTTTTCTTGAGGAATTCAGTGCAGGTATTAAGGTGATGGCTTGCTTTACACCAGAGACATTCTACATTCTTGTGCTGTACGCGTGTAGCTAATGTTGATGCAGTGTTCCGTGAATGGTTATTTTTGAATTTCCCCATTCCGGGTCTCTGTGGCTTCCCGATGTCAAGGCCCAATAGCACAGGTAAACACTGTACATCTGCGGTGCAGGAAACGAAGTCCACAAACATACTGAACGGGGGGAATTTAGACTCACCATGTCTTAGTTGAAAGTCTYGTACYTTAGTCCCCCATTTAGGGTGCATCCAGCTGGGTAAGGTCTTCAATAGCTGCTTGTTTTCATGCTGTTTGTTGAGGCTTTCAAGGTCTTCTACTGAGTGCATTGCCAGTTCACATGTCTTCAGAAAATCAGAATAATCCTTTAATCCTTTTTAATCCTTTAATAGTTTCCTTTCCATCCTTAGGAGAGATGCGCGGCCAGTTGACCAGTTTTTCTCTGAGGGCATCAGCCACAACCGATGAATTACCAAATCGCCGTTCTAGGGTTTTCATAGCTTCTCGGTAGGCAGAGGCAGATGGAACAAACTGGTAGCCTTCAACAACCTTCTTTGGTTCTCCAGCCAGGTACTGTTGCAAGTATAGGATTCGCTCGCTGTCGCTTGACGTGCGTCTCTCAATTACAGTTTGGAAGGCAGCCTTCCATGTTGGCCACTCTAGGGGGTTTCCGGTGAAGACGTTCAACTTAGGGGATGGTAACCTGGATGCTTGAATGCCTTCTGCTATCGATAAACYTATGTCTTGTGCTGACTGGAAAGTGTGGACTTGACTGGTTAAGGTCTGTGGCGTTGACACTTGGATTGGACCCTTGTATATCCTTGGTGGTTGAATGGGTGCGCTGTTTTCTAAATAGCATGCAGGATGGTTAAACCGATAAAAGAAGCATCAGTTCCAAATCATCACTTAAACAAAGGGCTTCTTATTTTTGTTGTGGAATAATAGAGTATTATTTTTTCCTTTCCTTTCCTTTCCTTTCCTTTCTTTTCCTATTCAAAATATCCTCTTAATATTTCTGATGTGCAAGAATAAATGTTTTGAATAAGATAAGAGTGTAGTTGTCATACCACATTACACATGTATTTTATTGTTTCACATACCAAATGAAAAAACAATGAAAATATTTGATATTTGAACATCCGTGTTTAATCAGCGGTCAAGAAGATAGTCACTATTTGCTTTAAATTAACAAGATTTTTTCACTTTATTTTCTCTGTCCGAACACTTTTTTGCTTTATTACAGTTTTCACTGGAAGTATTTTACATTATAAGAGAATGCACATCTAAATTTAATTCAATTTACACGGTTCAAAACTTACACAACACTCATTTTTGAAACTGAGCCGAGCTATCATATCATGATGATATTTTTTTCCTGCTGTAAAAGAAACCCAATTTCCTCGTTATTAAATATAAAGTTCCGGTATCATTTCTTGAGAAATAGAATTACAAAGTTAAAAGTCACTAAATGCGGAAGTATAAAGGTATGCAGAATGAATTTAACCTTCAAGGAGGCTTTTATCGCGTTAAAAGTCTTAATTTTAAGCTAAATGAGTCTTCTTTATTCCCGCCACTAAATACTTGTGGACATGGTTGCCTTGGAAGCACTTCGGGGCTTTGTTTCCCAGTTTTCTCGGTGCCCTTGACAGGAGAAAAAAGCTACCAATGAGCGAAGAATTTTAATGAATTCTCTTCTGAAGTCTTTATGTCTCCAAGCATAAAGAGCAGGATTTATGGAAGAATTACTGTAAAGGAGAATGCGAATCCAAAACCTCGCATGACGACTCGAAACTGACGAAGGCACTGCAAAGTGGTAGAGAATCAATATAATACGCGGATAGACCAGAATGATGAAAGCTGCGATGACCATACCGATGGTTTTAGCTGCCTTGTGTTCTTGTTTCTGTGCTTGGTCGTCTTCTTTCTTGCTTTGAACGTCAGCAGCTTCTTTCAGCCGTGGGTCCATCGCTGTCGAGATGGAGAAACGAATAACGTTGTTCGCTGTTTTGTTTCTACGCTGGCTCGCCGCCTTGGCTATTTTGAAAATCTTATAGTATGCTACTCCTATCACGACTGTTGCTGTCAACACAAAAACGACGAAGAAAATCAAGAAAGGTTTATCGCTCACTCCAGGGAATTTGGGTACACTGGTTATAAAGATCGCAGCAGCCCATACAACTGCGATGATGATCAAGACCTTYCCTTTRGCATGCTTGAATGAGGTGATGTATCTGACTGGATATGTAAGGGCTACACAACGATCTATACTCAAGGCACAAAGACAAGAAATCGAAGCGACAATGTTCACCCTTCCGAGGAAGCCAGCAACTTGAACAGCAGCAGGAGAAATCTGTGCCGTTTTCCTAGAAGCCAGACTGATATGCTGAGAAGCTCGCATAGGAACAAGAATAATACTGACTAAAAGATCAGCGATCGCTAAAGCAGCGATGAAGAAATTGGTGGCAGTTTGTAATTTTTTGTTTCGGATGATAGCAGTGATGACGAGAGAATTACCAATAGTTCCGGAATATTTCTACTGTTGCTGCTATACCAACGCCAACTGCAGGCATACTTTCGGCACCATCCTTTGAACTCAGTGAAACTGTAGTGTTGTTTGAGAACTCCATTTTCATCTCCTTACGTCTAGAGCTTGCCTCCTCCACTAGAAAGTGTTGATGATGTCGTGCGTTTTCTAGACATGTCTTGTGCAATGAGCTGAACTATGGCTTCCGGTGACGTTGTGATCCTCAGCCTCAGACAAAAACGAGTACAAAATCACACTCCAATGAGCACGGGTCATGTCAGTGGAAACTAAAATATCTTGCAGAATAAAGAGTTCAAGAGAGCGAAAATGAAACGATCGCAGTCTTCCGTACAGCAAAGGAAGTGGTCAGCATCTAGAGAGCATAGATATCTATGCTGTGTTGTCAGTATTCTATTCTAGTGAGGGGTGTTTATAGATATGAGAATGAAAGGCATGACAAAGGGTGGTGGCGACTTGTGTAGTGCTCGCATTGCTCGCTTCACGTAACATTAAAAAAGAATACATGACTGCACTTTTTAATTTATATCCAAGGCCTTGGAATATAATGTTAAGCCTTCAACCTTCAAATTTTATCAACACCCTAAAACGACTTCTGGGCTGATCAGAGTTAGGACACGTACGGTGGTTAACTCACAGATGCAACTGCAGTTTTGCAGAGGGAGGAAAATCTAGGAACCCAGAAAAAACCTTCAAATGTAATACCGAGTCCAGAAATGGAACCGAGAAAGAGGGCACTTTCCGATTTATCAGTAGTCATAAATGTACATGCGTGTTTACATTTGCGGTTCATAATCTTATGATAATACTTGTGTCCTACCGTCACGATCATGTCGCGGCACTTGCGCACCGGTACGAAATCTGCTGTACTATATTATGATTTTAACGAGACAAAAAGTATTCATTACCGTTTGTTTATTTAGTATTATAAGATTTTTCAGTATATATTGAAGAGAATGGAGCACCTCAGTGTGAAGGCTTGTTACTTCCGGGTTAAAAACAAGAAGTTGCAAGATTTTTCAAAGACGTTTCCCTTATTTGCTGCCCAATTTTTTTTCAAGTGACCAGGAGAAACTTGGGCTCTGGGTACGAGATTGGGGGAGAGAGGGATTGATTTATTGATATTATATTAGTGAGTGATCTCGCCCCTGGGGATCAATCCTGCATACACTCTCGTGACCAAATCAAACGTGCCGTTTTCTACAACTATATTTACTAAACCAATTCCTTTCTAAACAAACTCTCCCAAAAACAAACCCTCTGTGAAACAAAATAAGTCTATCCAAAAAAGTATGTTTACCAAATATAAGCCCAGGGCTTCAGTTTTTGGATGTTTACTTTACTCAATTATCTTTTTATTCAAAGTAGTACATTTTTATTTTAGGAKTTGTCATTTATATATTTATAGCAAACTATAATTAATTCCGTGAAATTGTCATTAATTATGCAATCTTTCTGTTCCACTGACATTTACAGGCTTCTTATAAATGCTACATTTCATTTGCATTTCAAAAATACAAATTTTACATTATATCAAAGCATTGAAGTCTAAAAGATAGATTTGAGGGAGCGGTGGGCGGGGGCTGGATTTAGTAGTTCAACTATCTATGAACTTTTAAGCAATTCAAGTATACAAGGTAGCCAACTTTCTTTATTGGAAAAGCCATCCCTCTCCTTCAAATCCCTTGGGCATGCCAATCATTTTATTTATGAAAGTATATGATATGTGAAACATTACCAGCCTTAAACAAATGAAAGTTTAGCTAACAATAAAAAGGGATTGTTTTACATGGCAAAATATAACATGGCGGCGAAAAGCATAAACAAGCACAAATCTCCCCGTTCACTGCCAGTAATGTGAAATAGAACACCACCACCATCGGGCTCAGCCATTACTTGTGGGTTATTTCCCGCTTGGACTTCATTCTGATTTTCTTGGTTTCTTTACATAATAACGAATTCCTGGTATCTGCGAAGGCTTTCCTCAGCTTCTTGTTCCTGTCTTCTTTGCTTCCGTAGCATGTATATCCCACTTCCGGTAAGGCCACCAAATATAATTCCGCCAGCCATTGCCAGCAGGGCCACAGGAGGACTGGCAACGAAGAGGCCAGCCATTCCTATAAAGCCTCCGATACCTGCTCCTATCTTAACACCGGGGTTAGCGGTAACGACGGTCAAGGGTACCCACGAATAAACAATTCCAAATGTGAAGAGGATAACTTGCATCACGGAACGCAAAAGACCAACCATCTCGGTCAACCGCTGAACAATATTGTCACCATGAGTGCTCAAATTTTGCAAGATGTCCCTGAATATTTCCATCACTCTAGGTAACACTGTGAACAGGTTTTCCCTGTCAGGATTCAAAAGAGCATTTGTGATCATCAAGAAATTTCTTAAGTTAATGAAAATCTCTTTGAGGATCTCTGGCTTTCCCTTGAGAATGTTTTCAGTGCCTCTTGGTCGCTTCACAAACAGGAAGTAAGCACTTTCCAACAGTCCTATCATTGAGGTGTATCCTTCGAAATCTCCAGCAAGATACTTCGTGCCTACATCTATTCCCTTCTCAGCGCAAATCTTCGTCACATAGTCTTCCAGTAACTTCCTATGTCTTGGGCAAAGGTACAAGTCTTCTTTTGTGGTTTCTGTTGAAGATGGTTGTCGTTTCTTCGTCTGTTTACATCCAGGCGACCTGCAGCGTATCTTGCGAGGAGACATGAAATTTGGATCAAACCTCATTAGAATGATATTCTCATCGTTGAAAGCCTGTTGGGCTGTTCGAAGGATCATTTTCTGGGTGCTTTTGAGCTCACTGGTTATGTTTCGGGGATCGAAGTAGGTGAAAGCTTGATCTTCGACAACCAGTTTTCGTTCTATTTGACCATGGAATGCTTTGAGCAATTCTGTTTCCCATTGTTCGACTGCACGTCCCTTCCTTGTGCTGTGTTTTGAAGGTGAATGAAACATCGATTTTTTCTCAAAAGACATGGTTCTGCAGTTAAGCGATTGAGATATGTGGTAATGAAGTTCTTGGAACTGGTGATTTGGTCGCATAGGCTTGCTGGGAAACCCCCTTCAAACAGGTTTTTCCAGTTTATATATATATCCAGTCTCTTTGTTTGTCAGTTGACCGAGGGAGTCGAAGTAGAGGTTTTAAATAAAAGGAAAATGCATACTCGGCTTTTGCAATAATTGGTATCCTATATGCAAAACACAGAAGTACAGCGAGGAGGCCAACTTTTAGCATGCGTAGCTAGGCTCTAAGGGGCTAGCCAAGTTTAATGAGCATGAATGAAATTCAGGCAAGTTAAAACCGAGTCGTAGCGGCCAGCGGCTACCCACCTCAATAATATGCGGTGGGGGTGGGGGATGGGGCGCGTTTTTGCTAAGGACTAGTGGCAGCTTTGCCAGCAGTCTTGGTAGCTTTGGCTGTGAGCGTGCAGCAAAAAAAAAATTTTATCATAAACTTTTGCCTGTTTTGGGGTGTTTACACCGTCATACAACATGGATAACGAGGCTGCATCATCGGGAGAGTCTACTAGCTCTTCGCCGAGTGTGGTGACGGTCTCCCAGGTACCTGTAGAGCTTTCTTCACAGATTGTTGAAGCCATCCAGCGAGCAGTCGACCGTTCAATGGCCAGCAGAGCTTCGAGTCAGGCGAATAATAATGTTGGGTTGCCGCCCTCTTCCCTTGCCCAAAGGACCAGCCAATTATTGCAGACAGGAGCGGGGATTCTACTAAATCAGCCCGGAACTCTTGGAGGTAGGTCCTCARTGGTTGCCCCGTCTTTTTTGAACACTTTCTCTTTTCCTGCCGCCTCGAGTACATCAACTTTAACTTCAACTACCAGTAGTCTCGGTGCAACGAGTTCAGTCCCCGCTTCCACGGGTTCCCAGAGCCCACTGCCTGTTATTTTGCACCAACCGTTTGTTGTGGGTCCGGGATATTCCCCAATACCTTCAAAACTGGTGGCTCAGATCGTCATAGGGAGGTTTATTGATTTGAACGACCTCGTACCAGCTAATTTGGTCCCTAGCTCGGATTCTGACGAGCCCCAGCTCATGCTAGATGGTAGGCTAGTACTCACTAGCCAGCCTAAAAAGCCAAAGCGTCGGTTTGACGACATTGTTAGTTGGTCAGAAGCTTTTTCTGTCTACACACTCGTGGTCACAGCCTTTAACCCGCTTCGCTGGAGGGAGACTTGCTTCAGTACAAGTTGTTGATCCTTCGCACCTACCGTTTGTTTAACGGACGAGCTTGGATGGGCTACGATCAGGCTTTCCGCGAATATGCAGCCGCGTTACAACTAACTGATTGGTCTCAGCTAAACGTGCAACTTTATAATTTTCACACGGCTGGCTCTACTGCAAGGCCCTCATCTACAACGGTATGCTTGTCGTGGAACCGTGGTCGCTGCACCTCCCCTTATTCTCCCTGTCGGTACGCTCACTGTTGTGCTAAGTGCTCGGGCTCGCACCGGGAGCCACAGTGBCCTGAGTCGCAATCCTCGTCGCTTAAGCTGAGGAACGTTCCGCGTCGCCTGTGCTGTCTCGTGCGAGAGAGCGTAGACGTTGACTCTGCTGTCGTGCCGTCGAAGTGGGAGCGAAGCTACCTCCCCTTCGTATATTGTCGTTACCGTTTGCCGCGAGTCTCGCCACTCGCTGTCGTTATATCGTTCCCGCTGTTGCTGCTTTCCGTTCTTAGCTCGATTGGAGGTTACCCCCCGGCGTCGTCTGTCCCACTTCAAGACAGAGTTAACCCGTTATACCTAAGGTTTTCGCAGCGTAACGAAACACGTAACGAAAAACAGTTTGACGCTGCAATTAACTGCTGCCATACCACCCCTCGTTTGTTTATTTGGGTTGGTATTGTTGGGCTGGCCGATTAAAGTTCTCCTATTACTATTTAGTTATATATTGATTTATCTATTTACCAATAGCCAGGTTAGACCCCTTCAATAAGCTGATATCAATGTCGAGGGTTCTGGTATTACAGTTG